CGAAACGGCCGACAAATAGCGGTCAGAGATGTGAAGGCGACGGATATTCGGAGGCAAACAATCCATCACTCGATCGGTTCCGTCGTTGAAATCCACGAAATCTATGGACTCGAGAGATGATAATCGTTTCAATGACCGAAAACTATTGCCATAAAAGCCCTCAAGAGTTATGTGTTTCATGTGAGACATCATTTGTGTCCAATCGTCGAGAGTCTTATCCTCTGACCACTGAATCTCAACGCAAACCAAATAGATTTGAATGAGTTGTGGACAGCGATTGACAATCATTTCCAGTGTCTTGAAGTCAAAGCATGTGTTCCGCAAAAACATGGACTCAATGTTTGAACACTTCTTCACAATTGAATCGATTGTAAGTTGACTTTCAATCAAATCAAAAGTATTGTCGTCTTTGCGAACAATGGCTTCACTGATGTCTTCGCCGACAAACTGGCGATCATTTGTGTCATTCATATACCCCTCGGAACCAATGCTGAGGCCAATAGTCTTCTTCTGGAGAGCAGTTGCGATACAATCTGTGAATTGATTGCAAACCGTCTCTATTCTCAAGAGTTGTTTCACCGAAAGCTCATTGAATATCAATCCTAAGACGTCGTCATTCATGACATGAGTTCTTCGGGAAGCGCTGTCTTTGGCAACGGTTCCGGACATTGAATTACTTTTGAAAGACATTTCAATGAAAAGTACTTCAGAAATGTATTACAAATTAAAGTGATTTTTGAAATGTTTGTTAAAATCGTTGAGAAAAAAGTTATTGTTTTGTTCGCGCGATTCGTATAAAAAATAATCATTTGATATAAATTCCGATTTAAAACCAATTAATAAAAGTTAATTTTGTGGTAAAGCGGAGGAATGCGCTCAAGAAGTGCTGTTCCCTTACGTAGATTCGCATCCATTTGATAATTATATCGAAAATTATTTTTTCGGTCGTTTCTATTAAACTTTTTTTTTGTTTTCTTTGAATTATTTGTTTAACTGAATATATTTCTATGAATTCATGCATTACTTTATATTTTTATTTTTTTGTTTAATAATTAATAAATATGTGAGAAATCTTTCGCAACAAAATTAAAATCTCATAACAAGATAAGAGATATTCCTATCATATTATTCCTATATTTGTATATTTATACAGTATTATACTAGCCTGGTCATTTTAAAAACTGAAAATTAGTTTATGGTTATAATAATTAATATTGCGTAGGCTAACCATAGAAATTTAAAAAAAATGTTTTAATATGATCATGGATAATTTGTGCAAACATTAATTGCAAATTGTCACTATTAATAAGGATCCTAATCATAAATTTTTTTTATAACCTTGCTTAAAGCAAATTGTCCCAGTACATTCAAATAGGTAATAAGTTGCATCATGCTAATTAAAAGTATAAAAAATTAAAAAATTTATAAGCAAACAAAATTTGTGAATAATTTGCCACGGTAAAATATTATCAATATTAAATGTACCCGAAATGTAATCATGGTAAAATGCATGTATTAAACGCGTTGAACGCATATCACAATTGGCGCTATAATTCAATGCCAGGCATTCACTGCAATGTCTGTGCAATGCATTCAATAAATATATGAATGAATGAATTACGAGTCAAAAACACCATTCATTGAAAACCACTCACAAACTGCACATCAATTGTACGGTATATTCAGTGGTATAACTGTATCGCTGTGTCCCTCACTCTCGCCACCACTCACTGCACACAACACTCACCCAAAAGTGTGACGACATTTATGGACGACTCGTAAAAGTCGTAACGTTTTATTTAAAACCACCAAAAACTGAGACCACATTTGAGACACACTTTTGTGTTGCAAATTGTATTGTCATTTGAGACACACACGCGATGACCACCAACTGATCCCAATAGACACCACCATCGATGGCCAAACTCGAGGAATCGGATCTGTTGTCGGACACGAAATGCATAATCAATTCGCTGGTCATTCCCTACCCGAAGGGACTCACTCTTCGCAAACTGTGCCAAGAGTTTCGCGACAGCGAAGGTATGAACACCACTGAAACACCACTCACTTTGACAATCACTTCTAACTGATCCAAACACGTGTTTATGTCTTATATATCACTCACCACTCCATGTAATGGTGCGCTTAGGCACAGACATCCCGTACAGAGAGCTGGGCTTTTCCAGTCTCACCGCTTTTCTCAAGTCGATGCCCGAGATTAGGCTCAACGGCAATCTCGCGGACATCCATACTGTGGTGCTCTTCCCGGTGGCCAATGAGTCGACGCAACACATCATAGCGTTGGTTAAGGGCCAGAAGAAGGAGAAGGATAGGGGACCGCCGCTCAGGCGCCCGGCGTTTAATTTTGGCGGCAATGGCTTTAATGGGTTCAATAGAGCGCCCAATCGCGGCCCCAATACATATCACGGCGCCGGTCGCGGCGCCAATCGGCCCCGATTTAATCTGAGCAACGGTGGCCTCACTAGCGGTATCGGCACCGGTGCTCGTATGGGTGCAGGCGTTATGGCAGCCAATAAACCCGCCAACACTGCCTCCGCCGCTAACAGTCGCTCGACATCTATGGGTTCAATGGTTAATAAGTTTACCAACTTTTCCATCACAAAACCCGCCGCATCGATACCGAACGCACCGCAAAGTCAGCGCCCGTTTGTACCGATGCCGACGGCGACCACAATACAAAATCACCGCCAATTCACTCCTATGCCGACCGCCACATCCACGCCATCCGCGCGGCCTTTCGTGCCGATGCCGACCGCAACCACAATACAGACGCGACCATTCGTTCCGATGCCAACGGCGACCACTATTGGAAATCACCGCCCGTTCGTACCGATGCCCACCGCGACGTCGACGCAACCGCCAAGACCTGCGTCTCCGCCGCCTCAGCCAAAGACAGCGTTATTGCCGACACCAAAGACAGTGTCTTCGCCACCAAAACTGATTATTCATCCGCCGCCACAGCCCGCGAAGAATACAACACTGGTGTCGGTGACCCCCTCTGAAAAGCCAATCCCATCCGTTAAGGGTCTGTCGAGTAAACTGTTGATTCGCTTATTGTATGAATAATGAAATGTATTTGATTTATGTTCACAACAGGCGATCCGAACACATTCTTCCGGCTACAGGCGGTTCCCGACCAGATCAAGGCCCGAGTGATACGTTTGCTGGACAAACAGAGGCCGATGGGAATGGCGGTGTGTCAGTTCCTGAGCAAATACAACGAGGTGTACGACGAGCTGAATTTGCGTCAAATGCGTTTCTCGGACGCCCAAGAATTCTTTCAAGTGTTGGCCACAGAGTTGCCGATTGTCATCGAACTCGTGGACGGCAAGAATCGGGTGTCGCTGACGGACGAGTCGGATGTGCGCGAATGGGTGGCCACTCAGGCGCGCACAATGCGCCACATATTCCCCATTGTGGTGGTGGACACGATCGGCGATATTGTGCTGCCGGGCGAGACGTTTAAGGCCTTTAGGCCGCCGCCGCGGTTCGACTGCAATAACAACGAATATGTGGCCACTTTTATCTCGTCGGCCATCAGTCCGGACGAACTGTTCCTGCAATTCAAAGGCAGTGACTATCACACGGCCCTCGAGAGGACAATGATTGACCTCGAGTTCTACGACAAAGCGCCCGAAGAGCGGTGGTGTGTGCCCTATGAGTTCCTAAGCATTGGTCTGCCTGTGATCACCCGTTACCCAGGTTTGTATTGTCTTATATATATACAGTATGTGTGTGTTTATTGAATGGTATGTATTGTTTTGGTTGACTTACAGGTGACAAGTTCTGGCACAGAGCGCGCATCAATCGCCTATACGCCAACCAGAAGCGTGCGGTGAACGTGACGTTTGTGGACTACGGCGGCAGTACTGTCACCGACTATAAGAGTTTGCGGCTAATGCGTCGGGACTTCCTGGCGCTGCCGCCGCAGGCGTTCAAAGTGGGTCTCTATGGCGTGAAACCCATTCTGGGCGAGAAGGAGGGCTGGGCTACCGCTGCCAGGGATAAGATACTGCGCTTCTCGAAGCCCTACTACGCGTTGGCCACCACTTTGATTGAGTACCGCCGCAATATGCCGATGGTTGCCATCTGCGACACCAACACCGCGGCCGACATATTCATCCACAATGTTTTGGTCAATGATAAACACGCGGTGTTTGACGAGAGGGCCACTATGGAGCCCAACGGCGATAGTATGTCCGCTTAGACTACCCATCGGTCCGTCCGTTTCTCTCTACCGATGCCATCGCTTTGTGATACATATTCCTCTCATGACATGCCTTTGATTAGCATTTGATCCCTTCATTTGATTGCCGTTTGTTTTCACTCAATACCTAAAATATTACTTAATTTTTTATAACTAAAAAACTGTTTTCTATTGACATTTGTTTAATTAAAAGTTAAAATTATATTATAATTGAAATTATAACTTATGTTTAACCAAAAAATTTATATGTATTCAAAACATTGTAATAATTAAAGTATTATAATTATTAATTATAGGATAATTATTAGCATAATGTTTTAATTAAACAAATATAAAAAAACATTTTCAAATACTATTTGTAATGTTTAAGTTTGACAAATAAAATATGTAAATTTTAATCATAATAGAAAGTTGTTTTGTAAATTAAAATTTCAATTTAACTAGTAATGGTGATGTGAACACAAAAATAACCGCATCAATCATGATCAGTTAACTTATTAATACCCATTTCTAAGCTATGTAAAAAATGAATATCATGTACATTTTACACCACACGTTATGCATGATTGCATTTACCGTTATATTAACGGCATTTACGCTATGATAACATTCATGAAAACAAGTTTAATGGCAAACGTTATGTCTGAATAAGTTGTGTACCAAAAGTCCATATGATTTGCAAAACAGTCTCTGCAGTGAATGTATTGAATGAATTGAGTTTTCGATGCATTCATTGAATAACGCATACAAACAGTGAGTGTTTTGTCTGTTATTAACACTCAATACACGTGGCATTCAATCGCGTCATTGGATTTACTTCTTCGCCGCCATCTCATCAGACAATCAGACCATCGTTTCAGTCCATACACTCATTGATGTGATTACCACCCGATGGCCAACAGACAGGAGTTGATATCGAAGGCCGAAGACGTGGCCGACGAGGTTTGTTCCCATCAATCACTCAGTTGTCAAACACTTTCGCTTTTATCTCTCGTTTACGTGTCATTCACATTGTCTTCGTGTCTGGGATCAGGTGCTGCGGAGGTCGAAGACAATACTGCCGACAATCGCCCGCTTGTGTCTGGTGTCCACATTCATCGAGGATGGCATCCGGATGTGGTTCCAGTGGTCAGAGCAGAGGGACTACATGAACAGCCAGTGGGGCTGCGGCTATATTGTGGCCACACTTTTCGTGTTGATTAATATGTTGTCCCAATTGATCGGCTCCGGACTCGTGGTCAGCCGCTTCCACGTGACCATCGCTTGCGGTATACTCTTCGGCACTGTTGTGTTGCAGGTAATGATTGCATTGATTGCGTCGACTCCTGAGTGAACTACTCATTGATGTACTAATTGTTGGATCCAATTGTGTTTCGCAGACATTCGCGTATTCAATCCTATGGGACCTGAACTTCTTGCTGAGGAATATGAGTCTATGCGGCGCTCTGTTGTTACTATTGGCCGAATGCAAGGCAGAGGCGCGCACTCTGTTCGCCGGCGTGCCGTCACTCGGCGAGAATCGCCCGAAGACTTACATGCAGTTAACCGGACGTATACTGACTGTACTTATGTTCGCCACTATTCTTCATCTCGACGTTAATGTCTTTCAAATCATACAAAACATTATAGCCATCGGACTTATGGCTGCCGTCACTGTCGGCTTCAAAACCAAACTGTCGGCCCTTTTGCTGGTCGTGTGGCGAACATAAGTACAGTCAGTATACGTCCGGTTAACTGCATGTAAGTCTTC